TATACTATTCTATTAAATGAAATAATAATAAATGCATATTTTCCCACTTTCAGACCCTCAAACTCTATGTCTTCAATAAAGGTAGAGTTTCTAATATAGATCAGAAATGTCACCTCTTTATATGGAAGCAGAAAAGAGAGATTCCTCCATAACTCTGCTTTTTTTTTATCTAGCACAGGCCAAAAATATGCTACCAATGGGACTCCCAAAAGCCCACCATAGCACAAGTTATTCCATCTGTCATCTCCAGGAACAGCTGCAACACTTCGCCCCAGCTGGAATGCTTACAGCCACAGCTCTCACTCAGGCCATCCTGCTCCTTCTTCAGTAGGTTCTAAAAGATACCCAGAGAAGATATTCATGTTGTTGGATACATGGACAGATCTCCTTCAGAATCTCCTGCCAAAAATGAAATCCTGATTATCACAATTGATTAGACTAGTTGGCTGACCTTGCAACTAATTTATGTATACACCACAAATTGTGTTTATTGTGTTATATATCAACAGATTAACTGCCAATGTCTCCTATCGCCAGTTTAAAACTGTAGAAATAATACATGAGGACCTCCCATCATACTGTAAATATGATCCCCACAACAGGGATGCTGTGATAAGCAATGCTGGTTAGCTATGTAAGCTTGTATATGGAAACTGACTGAGAATACTTACAGAATTATACTCCATCACTTACCATTCTATAATATTTTTACTCATAGGAAATTACCTTTGCATATACATTATTTTAATTACTCTTTTCTGCAAAGGTTCTTTACCCTTTTCTTCTTGAAGAAAAGTCTTCTTGAAGAAAAGAATTTTCTTAGCCAATGAGAAAGACGTTCAGGGTTAATCTTGAGGAAGATAGTTCATTATCTACCCCAAATTAACTATAACAATTATTGCAGAACCTGCTGTGTGGAGACATCTTTCTGCTGAAGTTTGGGATCAGCTTCAGTTCCGGCACTTTGAAGAAACTCAAACACGTGTGGGGGTCTGGCCTGTTTCCTATATTAATGCTTATGTAGCTGTCAATATGTAAATAGGTTACTGTAACTGGACAACCCATCCCCCCAAAAAATTCTCCACCCATTTCTTCTTACATACAACATGTAAGTGTTGTCCATTTGTCATGAATGACAGAACAACAGACTGCAGTAATTACAGAAAGACAGAAAAAGCGTGCTTTTGATCTGTATTTGTATAAAATTTAGGAATCCGTAAGCTTCACTTCGGAAATATTCTTTCCGTTATCTGCTAAGTAGCATGTGGGAAGTTCTAGAGTCAAAGCCTCATTGCTCATCCTGCATACCTGCAATGCCACAGATCGTAATTCTGCTATAGGAACATAAGGCACTTGCTACCTCAGTCTATTTGACATTGACTAGAACTGGCATTTCAGGGTTTTAGGCAGCCGTTGTTCTAGTTCAACCCAGAGATGCCAGGGATGAATTTGAGATCATGGGTATGCAAAGCAATGAATTACACAATTACACAGGTTCACAACCAGGCACAGGAAGCAGCGGCACGAGATAGGAATTGCAAACCTTTAGGCCTGATGATGTTCTAATCAGCAGAAGCAAGATGAAGAGGGACCAGGGAAAAGCTATTTTCTATAGCATTATCCGTTCACAGAACTCCTTTCCAAAATTGCTTTTTCCTTTACCTGACTTAATTATTCTGTACCTAATTATTATGTAACCTTAATTACTGTTCAACCAAGTTTCAATTGCATTCTCCTCCCTGATAGTAAACAATTCTGATATCATTTTCAAAAAAATAAGTATATAAATTGCATTAATTAAAGGAGGATGCTACCATAAATACGGTATTCTCTAATCTACTAAGTAAACTAGTTTATGATAAAAAAAATTATCTAATCAAAATTCAGTTAGCTCAGAGTTCTGAACATAATAGAAAATTGGGCAAAAAAAGCTTCCAAACAATATTCTTGCAATCAGTTGAGTTTGGAACATTAAAGCTAGAAGTCTTTTTATTATAAATCAAACACAGTTGTTTTTTAAGAGCATTTAATATTAAAACTTTTCTTTCCCACTGTACACAAACTGGACTTGGGCCGCTCTCTGCTTCTCAGCCCAACCTACTAACAAGACTGTTGTAGAGAAAAATGGAGAGAGAAAGCACTATACATGCATCTTCAGCTCCTGAAGTAAGTTGTAATGGTCCATTAAGTCAGTCCAGATATTTGGTGAATGCAGGAATGAGTCCATGCAATTTTCGTGGCCGGATTTTCTGAAGTGGTTTGCTTTGTGCCTAAGACAGGACTAAAGCTCACAGTCCCCCGGTAGCTTTAACCATTATTGTGTACCAAAATGGCTCTCCTAAAGACAAAGGTAGAACAGAAATCTAATAAAATAAATAAATATGTAAATTCAATCATATTTTGGGCTTTCCATTAAGAAACTCACATACAACTCTAAAATATGTTGATTTCAGTTCATATATAAGAAATTGCAGATAATGTATCTCTTAAAAGCAAACAATAATATAAAGTGTTATTCCAATAACTTCAATTGATTTTGCCTTCAGTTTGGTATTTTAGCTTTAGTTTTAACTTACGTAATGTTTTTAATGTATGTTTAATCGTTCTCATTCTAGTAGCGTATTCTAAAAGCATTTTAATTTCTCCATACATTCTGCAAGTGGGTTAATACACTTACAAATGGTTTAGAAAAGATCTAACCTACTTATTTTAAATTATAATCTTCACATCAGCATATAATTTAAACACATATTAGTAATTATAATTATACATGGGAATAAATATTAACAATTAACACTGGAAGAAATGCTCAGAAGCAAAACATTTCAATCAAACAAATATATTTATAACTTTTAAAAGTCACTCCATCACAAAGAGCATTAAAATGGCAATTAGGCAGCAACATTTTCGCTTCCCTGCATTGACAACACCAAAAATAGCATCATAACAGTGTGCATCTTTCTCCTAAACTCCTGAGGTAGATTAAAGCATTTGGTTTATTATGGAAGAGAGTCATGCTACAATTTAAAATGTTATGGATGAATGGAGAAGCTGTGGTAGCAGTATTTTCATTTCCATTCTCCTCCTCAACACATAGCTTGATTTTGTTTTCCGGCACAGAACCACAATGTGCATTTAAATTTCTTACTTGCATCAATTTATACTGAAATAAAATTATTTGGCAACTTCATTTAAATCTGCTCCCTCCCTGTCCCAATTCAGATTTTGAAAGTCAAGGATATTATCACTTAGTGAAACTACATTGAAATTTGTGTCTTTTGGAAATATGAGTAAATATTCAGCTTATGTACATATGTTACACAACTATTTCAAATCAAGCCAAAGAGAGACATGTTATTAAGAACTACTTTATCTTTTAGCTAGTGGCATCCTGTTGCTAACCACTTAGAGAATAACAGCCTTTATCATTGTAATTACATGCTAGATTTTCACTAGAGTTCTGCTACTGTAGTTTTCAATAGTCAATGAATTTTGCAGTTTTTAACTTACTGCCAATATTTTAAAAAATATGTGGCGAGTAAGTTATAAAGTACGGTATATTCAATTATTTTGAGACTCCATTCAAGAATCACTGTAAATATAATCTTCCAAGGTGGCTCAGGCATTTTATCTTACAGATGACAGATTGCTAAATGAAAGCTACACTGCAGGTTGTTGTACGACCTTGGAAATGCGTTTTACTATGAAAAATACAACATAGATATTCTTGTTACCATATTGCTATAACCTGGTAGAAATACTTAATATTACCATACAGCATATTAGCGCTAGTAGAACAATTTAAAGCCATGTGAAATATTAATGTTTTACACAACTCTGAGCAAATTAAAAATAAATAAAATTAATTTCTCTCATTAATTTAAATTTAAGAGAGACTTAGAAGATACTTTAATATATCTGCCATTATCAAAACTTGGGACTTCCATTCTCCAACACACACAGGAACAACTCATTTGCCACATATTTCAAAATGATATTGTAGGTAAAGGGGAAAATCTCCTGATTTTTTTTTCTAATAACATAAAAAGATCTTTCCAAGCCCTTTCATTCCATTTCATTTCAGCATCATTGAGTTATATAACATGCCCTGATGTCAGTTCCAAGTTTTTAAGCTTCATTTATAGGTTTATCATAGCACAGCCCTTGAAGCATGCAGCTTCCCCCCCCCCTCATTATGCAAGGAAAAGTACCCTTCCCAGGCCCAGCTTCTCTGATGACATCGTTAATGCAGAGCAGCTCCCGCTATGCAGGGGACTGAGCACTGACTGCAAAACCAGAGAGGAAAAAAAAAGTCTTTGCCCTCTTACTATCCATTTGGAGCACGAGAGAATTAAGGACACATATTATCCGGTTGTTTGTTTGTTTAAAAAAAGTAGGCTATGTTTAAACTGCAGCGTTATTTCTATTGGCACCCACGAGCAACCCGCACTTTCCCGTGGACTCCGAGACCCGCGCGCCTGCACACAAACACCCTTCCCCCACAGTCAACGTGCGCCCAAGAATGCAGACCTACTTCTCTACTTCAGTCAAGCTGATGGGTGTGGACAGGGGCATGAGCTAAGCTAACACTGCTCCTCTCCCTCCCCTGCCAATAGGGAACCCTGGACCGCTGCAGTTTTCTGGCTCGCCGGCCTGTGCGCAGTTCTGTCCCCCATCCGCACACAGCCATTGTCAAGTCTGCAAACGGGCCTCTCAGACCCGGCCCGCTGCTGCTCTGCGGCGTTACGTCGCTCCCGTTATCTGCATCAGTCGTTCTCCCTCCAGTTGCAGCGGCAGCCACTCTGACGGGACTGGATGTGGGGCGAGCCGCGGCATCCCCCTGGTCGTTTTCTATCCTAACCCCACCCCGACCCGCTAGCCCGGGGTCGTAGAAGGGGGACAGATAAATCAAGGGAAAGGAGTCTCGTCGCTACCCCTCCACCACCACCACCACCCCGGTCCTTCCCCGCGCAAAAAAGCGGCGGCAGGGGAGAACGCACCTGAGTTAAGTAAGCTCGGAGCGCGCTGTAGGAGGAAAATGCGGACACGCGTGGGGCGGTGGAGGGAGGAAACGGCGTGGAAAGTGGCGGCGGCGGCTGTTCCGAAGGGAAGGCGGCGGTCGTGGCGTCGCCCGCTTGCTTTTCGCGAGGGAGACCAAGTCCCGCGAAGAGCATGCGAAGGCGGCGGCGCGCGCGCGGCGGCTCCTCCAGGCAGCTCCTGGGCCCTCTCCTCCCTCCTCCCTCAACGCCTCGCGGGCGCTCCCGCCCACCCGCCTTGCGCGGAGAAAGCCGGCCGGGCTGTGCCAAGACCTGGAAGCGTAGAGCCTGCCGGAGTCGGATTCAATGCTAAGTCATCCTCCCCCGAGCAGAGCCGAGTCGAGCCGGAGCAAGCGACCGTTCACTCGCTCCAGGCCTCTTTCCCTCCTCCTCCCTCCTCCTCCTCCTCCTTTCAGAGGGTCTTGGCAAAGGAATGGCAACGCGCGTAGGTGTGCTCAGCAATGCCAGAAAAGGACTCAGAGCTTACTAGCTCTCTTTAAAAAGATGCCGGAGTAGCGGTTCTTTACAAAGCAGTAGTATATGCCGTCCTTAGGAAAAATGACCCTAGTTTTCGTTTCTCTTAAACCAACCATAGAAATTAATCCCGCTGGCTTTAGAATACAGTGTTTGCATGCACTTACGCATGTGACAGTTACTCGTACCTAGTGTCAATTGGGTAATAGAGGTGTATAGAACCTGTTCCATGTATTGCAGAGCAGCAGAAAGACCGATGAGTATGTACCCATGGTCTGAGTTAAAACTAAATAAGTAACGCTGTTATTCGTGTTAAATATTTGCATGCTGCCCTTCAAAATATTTTCCCTGTGGAGAAGGAGGGTAAAAGAATTATAGCAGCAGTTTAATATTTTGGGTTCCAAGGGGGGGGGGAATGTGAAATATAACATGCAATATGAGGGTTTTCCAAAGAGAGAGATACACACACATAAGAAGGAGGTCATAGGAAGGCTATTGAAACTTTAAACTTTCTTGGCAGGCTGGGCTGAAGAAACCAACCAGCCATTTTGAACTCGTATAGACCTGAGCCTAGATCTCCTTAATGACAGTTGTAACATGTAGGTTCTGCACTGTAAAGGTTATTTAATCCAGTTTCTAGAGTAGATTGAACACTATATTGAATGATGGCAACTGCAACAAATAAGTAAATACTCAGACTGGCCATAGGTTATCGCATTCTTCTATTGTACAAGGGTCATTAGATATTCTGTTCTGCAAGGTGATATTGGAAGAAATAACTCAAATCTTGTCTGGACAAGAAGTGATTGACTTCTGACATCAGAAGCATACATAATCACATGTATTTTAATATTGGGATGATGGAGGGAACAAGGAAGCAAAACTCAAGTAACTAGAGACTTGGAATAGTTTTGATTTCTCGTGTCCTGAATAGCATACTGTGGTACATACAAAATACAATGCCTTTCACAATCTCATAACCACCAAATTGATTATTGTTTAGTCAGGTTTTTTTTCCAAGGGTTCCACAAGAATTATTTATTAGATTTATATCCCTCCTTAGTTTTGAATTTGATAGGTTTCCATCAGAGACTTAGGTAACAAAAAGTTAATTTGAATGCAGTCATTGTCCATCACTGCCTCTTGATTGGGAGTTCTGGGTTTTTTTCTGTTTAACTAACAGGTTCCATAGTCTGAAACAGTTTGAAGTTTGGTTTAGAGCAGATAGGGTGAGAATTGTAGGTATTGAATCCAGCAAATCTGGAAAGCATTTGCTTTCCTAGCTTTATCAACTCTATTCTGTAAGGACATCTTGCAATCCAATGCAAATAATATTCTGACCTACATTGTGTAGAATTAGAGGGCAGAAGAAGAGAGCAGAAATGATGAATAATGCTGTATCTTTTGTAAAAGGCCAGATGACTCAAGCAAGTTATCCATCCACAAGAGAAAGGAAAAACATAGTCATTTAATAAAAGGATACCTTGCCAGGAAATAGTCCAACTGCTATATCAAACATGTTCTTAATGTTGAAGAATGACCTTCAGCTCCTACTTGACAGTTGCAACAACAGTAATCTTCACTATAAGATTCTTACAGTGCAAACACTCTGATCAGAAATGTCACAACTCTTTCAGTGATCCTGGAAGAATCTCTGCTAAATGCCGGAGTATTCAAAATTGCAGTATTTGGGAATGAGATTTTATCGAACAATTCTGAACGCATTCTGTGGGCCCATCTACCACTCACTGTGATGTGCTTTGTTTCCATTATCGAGATAGGAGGAAAATATATCAATATAAAGCAGTCTACTTTTTCTATGCCTTGAGAATGAGGCTGGTCAGTGCTGCTGCTCTAATGAAATATAAAATACTGTAGGACAATGATTAGTGGGTTCCTGGTCAGCCTTTCGTCTCCCAGCCTATCTTGCCACTGGTCATTCCCATGAATGCAAAAATGTTCCTCCAACATTTCTAATGTTGCAGGTTCACTTCATGGAGAAAAACAAGAAAATGGTCTAATCAATTTCTTTATCTACATCCCTGACAGTTGTGTTTTTGGATCCAGAAAAAGCAGTTATCAAAAAGTTGAAGAAAACTTATCCAGAAAATTTGTTGAACAGTTGCTCCAAGATTGTTGAAAAAGCTGGTGACATTTCTGATCAGACTGTTTTCACTAACAGTTACAGATTGTTTTCTGTACAGAATGGTCACAAATTAAATGTAACTACGGTACATGGTAAAAATAAAAGAATTTTATTCAGTGGCATTTGTCAAGGAAGATCTTTCTCAATTGTCAGTTGTAGTTCATATATTGTATTCAGACGAAAGCACTAGGACAAGAAGCAATGGATGGAAACTAATTAAGGAGAGAACCAACCTACAACTAATTTCCTGAAAGAACACTTAATCAATTGAATGACTTGCCTCCAGAAGTTGTAGGTGCTCCAACACTGGAGGTTTTTTAAAAAAGATTGAACAACGATTTATCTGAAATGATATACGATTTCCTATTTGAGCAGGGGATTGGACTAGAAAACCTTCAGAGTCCCTTCCAATTCTGTTATTTTGCTATTCACTAATTTTGCAGTATAATATTCATTGGGGAAAATAGCCACCCCCTTCTAGACCAGCATTCAGTCTTATATGAGATTAATTGTCCTCTCTCCACCACCATTACCACCAGATAAAAAGTTTGGTATTTCTCCTAATCACAGCTGAAAGAACCTTGGAAGAAAAGAGTCCACTGACCAGGGATGATTCCACAACAGGTTTGCTAGACCAGATGGAGCCTAGTTCATTGCTCCTCTTCTATAGGCCATAAAGTGTACATATGGGAATCTTCTGTTGCAATAGCAGGGATAATACTACTTTCATGCCAGAAATGCTTTTACTTTCCAAGGGCTCATTTACCTGGCAATTTCTTGCACTACTGGCTTAGTATCTTGCCACGCAAAACTAGAAGAATAGAATAGAAAGAATAGAAAGCAAATACAGAGGAGGAGGAGGAGGAAGTAATCTTACAATTAATACATGAGTCATGACACTCAGCATATAGTTAATTCAGTTGAGATGGGAAGAAATGATGTGGCACCAATTGAAGCATATACGCTAAACAATGCATTGAAACCTTCAACCATATATACATGGCTGTCGGTGGGTACTGATCTGACTCATTCCACATTTGTGATGATATCCTATCAGTATGCAGTATTATGCAGTATTTTCATGGATTTGTGCCTTATATCCTCCCACCTAGATGTGTGAAGATGTGTGGATGGAGTCGTTTTCCAGATAACAGATAGTTAAAAGCAAGTCCTATTTTATCCCAACACAATACCTAGTCTGTTTTTCCTTAGAACTGTTACATTTCAGTTCTCTAATTTCTCCTTTCTCATTATACACCAGAATTATACTAGCAATAGTAGACAACAAAAATCATTGGCTAAATTTAGAACACAATTATTAGACGATGCCTAAATTCTGTAAACTGTCTGTGAAAGCATAGGAGGTTGCATGGCAAAGTAAAAAAGAGAACCCAAACAGCATCTCTTGAATGCCATTTATATAATAACCCTGCTTTTTGTAGGATTAAGCTGAGAATCAAAGAAGTTAAATGTAGCAAGTGTTGTTAATGTAGAGAATGAACAGATGCAAATCAAATACAAGTATAAGATATGTAGTTTCTCCATTCTAAAAAGTGACCATGGCAAAGGTTAATATATTACTTTCTTGATATTTGCTGCAAATCAGTCACCCCCAGTCTTGCCAGAATCTTTCCCAAATAACTCATTTTTACATAATTAGAAAAGGTCACAATAATTTAAATACTATACCATTATTATTATTCAAGATAAACTTTAATCTCCATTAGGTTAATTAGATGATACAGTTATAGAGGATACAGCAAGGAACTGAGAGCTCATGCAATTTAGCAATGGAACAGATGAGAAGAGTTGAGGGGAAGATCCTGTATCGTAATTCATAACTTATTCAAGGTACACTTTCAAGCAAGAATGAAAGGAAGTGGAACAGAAAATAATACTGTATGAAGCAGCATCCTGCAAAGCAAATTCAAAAGGCATCTAATGCTACCTCTGAAATCTTTTAAAATCCTTAAAATATAAACTCATTTTTCAAAACAAAATATTTGCAATGAACTCAGAGAGGCAATCAATAGTACATATCTACACAATATAAACTTATTGTTTGTGCTGAGCTTATTATGTTTGGTAAAGCTGCTAATAATGATTGGTTGAATTAATCTATACTCAAGGAAACTGAAAACAATTAGGTAGATTTGTTTGAATGTGTGAGCAGAACAGAAGAGCAAAGTCTTTGGAAGATATCCAGGCCTAAGAAAGGAGAGGGCAATGCTCTAATATAAGCTGCTTCAAGGAATATTTGTTCAGAGAAATAGGACCCGCCAACAAAAGAATCAAGGGGGGGGGGAAATAACTAGACAAGCAAATAGGCAGACTCAAAATTACAGTGCCATGAAAGGGTAAAATTAATATATTGAAATAACATTGATTAGGAATGCAATAGACATTTTTAGCAGACATGAATGAACAGTGTTTAAAATATTGTTTAACAATCTTAAAATTGCCCCATACACCTTTGTTCTCCTATTCTTATTGGATAAAATGTTAGAGAGGGTGTATTTAATTTATCAATATTAAAAACATTACTGTTGACTAAAAGATATTCTCCAGATATACAAGGATGATCTTTTCCACACAGGAATTAACTCCTTTCTCTGAAGTATTTTGCAGTGTCCTTAGATAAAAGTAGGAGTGGATCCAATAACTATTATATGGAGTCTCTAATACTGGTATCTGTTCCTGAAAATGTTACTAAAATTTGAAATGTGTTACCTATCCAAACTTATTGCAGGTGCTAAAGGTTAAGATTTCTAAGGGGACATAATTTTTTCCTAACATTGAATTACAATTTAAAATTCCCTTACAGATTGTATATGCTTCAAATGACTGGATTCGATCTATTGCAATGCCAATATATAAAAGAAGAAACAAGATAAACCTGACTAACATTCACTCATTTAACTTTCTTAGTATAATTAGCAACTTTCCAGACATTTCCATGGGAGTTTAATGAAATAGATGGAGCAGCACAATGTCCTGCAAGTAGGTTTAGGGATGGTCAATGTTCAACCAATGTATTTATTTGCCTCATTTAGTAGAAAAGTACTACAACAGCCCTTGGGGCATCTGTCATGATATCTTGACTGGTTTACATAAATTGCAATGTGATCTACATAAGGTTACCCTTGAAAAGTATCCAAAAATTTCAGCTGTTACAAAATGCAGCCACAAGGGCAATTTTGGGCACCCACAGAATGGTGCATGTAACACTTCTGCTGTATGAGCTGCATTAGGTGCTGGTTTGCTTCCAGGCCCAATTCAAGGTGTTGGTTATGGCCCATAAAGCCCTACTAGGGCCAGGTTACCTATGGAACCATCTTCATCCCATCACATCAGCCTGTCTCACCCAATAAGGCAGGGAAGGTATGTTGTATATCAGCCAAAGAATTTCAATTGAAAGGATCCAGGAAGAGAGCTATGATAAAAGTAGTCATCTTTTCTAAAGGTGCTGCCAGTCACCGCTAGAAAATTAATGGCTTCTGAATATGCTAAATTGAACTGAATGTCATCTTTCCAGCCATTGAGAATACAGTTGCTGTTACTGCTCAGGCCCATGGACCACCAATGCTACTTTGAATCATGCCCATACAAAGTATCACCCACCAAAATAAACAAGCTGCTATACAGTCTCCAGATAATTAATTATTACGATATAAGACTTGTAGAAGGGACTCAGTCAAATTTTTAAGAAGCTTATTGTAAGTCCCCTGGTGATTCCCCACCTATTTGCTTGGTGTCAACGTTGTTAAAGTCCTATATTTGGCTTAAATTCATCTTTACAGTGATTCTTCTGGATAGCTTTCTCACTTTCTTATGGGTTAATTTCTTCCACACCTGGAAAAAAAGAATTCATTGCACTTAAAGGTATATGTTGTCCCCAACAAACATTTGATCTTACTTGGCTATCAGAAAGCCATTGTAGATTTCAAGCAACAGATATTTGATAACAGGTTTCAGAAAAATCTGAGTATAAGGCTCACCTAAAATTGTATGAGCTAGTACAAAAGATCTTTTCCTCAATTAGTCAATATTTGTTGGGAAACTGCCAGCTAGGCTGGAAGGGATGGGGTCAAGCATGGGCTTAGCTTAGAGTTCTTGCACAGCCACAAGAGGCATAAGTTTCACCTCTCCTAAGATCCATGAAACTTATCTGGTTGTTCCCATGGGAAAACAAGCTATTTGGGCAGATTCTTGTAAGTTAGGTCAAAAACAATAAAGTTGCTTACTTTAATTATTTACGAGTGGTTTTGGTTGCTTGCACTTGCCAATATTTGATGTTCATCTCAAAGGAGTCTTGACTTACCAGATGCAGTGCGTCTTCCTCCATATTAGTATTAATAGTTACATGCCACAGCAAAAGCATTTCTCAGTTGGGAAAATGCAAATTGTCTTATGTGTACTTCTTTGCTTCCTTTTCAACAATTTGATGTTGAGATCTAATAATGCCTATTTGGAAGCTCACACAAATTTTAATACACCATCATTTGTGAATTACAGTCTACTTAAATACAATATTTGAATGTCCACAAGAAGAAAAATAAGACCAAGATTTTACTAGGAATTGGATTTTATTAAGAAGTGTAGTGGCTGACCATACCCTCTGCCTAGCATTCAATATTCTCACCAGTGAGAAATGAAGTCTTCTATAGTGGCAGGGCTGAGACAGGGGTGAAAGGCAGGAGGTCATAAATCTATTCTTATAGAAGATCTCTGGATCAATACTAGCCTTGCCTTCCTGCCTGAGTGTAGCTAATTAATGATGCTATTCCCTATCTTTTATGCAGTATCCTCCCTCTTATGAAATAAATAAGGCTCAGAACTTAATAGCCTGTGGGGGGGAGAATTGATAAAAATGAAATGAATTTTATAGTGCCATCTTCTGGTTCTATAAAATCAGATGTGATTAGGAAAATCAACACAAACATGCACAAGCCCTTTTGAGAGTCAGGTTTTGTATGTACAGTATCTATTGCCTACAACTTGTATTTGAGCTGGCCATCCCCTGAGATGAATGTATCCGGTGAAAGCATTAATGGAACTACTTAAAGTGATTAATTCAAAGAAACTAAGATTCTCATTTAAAGGAAACATTGTTTTAATGGACAGCATTTTCCCCCCAAAAGTGTCAGTAATTGGCATTATCTCATACTTTGCCAGTAGAAAGATTTAGCCAAGTCTGCTTGTTTCATAATTTATTTAACTGCTTCAAAAAGAATATGTCACTCAGAATTGAATTGTGGAGTCTATGGTACCTTTGAGCTTGGTTGATTATTTGCAGACATTTCATTACCCAACTAAGACAAAATAGTGCTACTGAGGATGGGGTTTATATACAGTAGTTTGCCCTGCCAATATTGGTGGGCATGTGGTTTTCTTATTGATAGTTTCTCGATTAAATATTGTTTTTTGCTTGGTTTTTGTCTGGTGTTAATCCCTTCTTATCCCTGCTTATCTGGGTGTTGCCTGCTGGAGAGGATGCCCTGGCACAGGTCAAGCACATACATAAATATGCAAACTTCATTATTAAATGAAGTTTACAAACACACACACTAGATATGGGATCCATACTTTTCATTGTATGTGTGGAAATGCTAGATTCTAGACCAGGGATAGGCAACCTCGGCTCTTTTATGACTCATGGACTTCAACTCCCAGCTATGCTGACTCAGGAATTCTGGGAGTTGAAGTCCATGAGTCATAAAAGAGCCGAGGTTGCCTACCCCTGTTCTAGACACTGCATTATGATCTGTTCTATGAGCCTGAAGAGTAATGATCCTATGGGTTTTCCTCTGATTTGTTGTTGTATTTGTTCATCAAACTGAGTGTAGGTGGTGAAGCAGAGGATAATAAGGTCCATGATTCTGGATATTTTGATCTTAGTGTTTCACTAGATCAAGTGTGTTGTACTGCCATCTTGAAGCCTTTTGCTAGTTCTAAATTTATGGGCATGAAATCGTAAATTCATCTTCTTCTACTTTTAAGTCTCAGATTTTCTAGAGACATTGTTGTGGGGAGTTGATAGAATATTTGTTCCCCTCTATGAGCCGTCCAAGCTTTTTTTATCTTTGGCTGTGTTGCACTTTGGGATGAACACCCTTCAAATGGTGCGGGAGTATGAACGGATTTCCAGAACACATTGCAGACTACAGGAACAGGGCAGAAAACACACACACATTTGCATTACTAAGGTGACCCTGAGGACACTGAAAACCTCCAAATGATCCCAAGGAATCTCTAAAATAATGCAAATGACCAGCTGTCTACAAGGAATATAAATCCTTCCATTCTCCACCATCCGGTCAGAGCTGAAGAAACTTCTTGGATGAGAAGTGAAACATCTTCAAGAAAGAAAGAAAGAAAGAAAGAAAGGAAGGAAGGAAAGAAGGAAGAGAAAGAAAGAAAGAAAGAAAGAAAGAAAGAAAGAAAGAAAGAAAGAAAGAAAGAAAGAAAGAAAGAAAGAAAAAGAAAGAAAGAAAGAAAGAAAGAAAGAAAGTCCAGTTGCCTCCTGAAAAAGCAACTTTGGGACAACCATGATCTGGATGACTGAGAAGCTCCATAGACAGGCAGAGCTAGGATTTTTCTGCATCTCCCTGCTGCCAGCTAGTGGTCGCCCCAACTTTTGCAGTTACCGGTCCTAAATACATGCATTCCATCGTTCTTCATGCTAGACCTCAACAGTTTAGATGTAGGCCAGGGGTAGGCAACCTTGGCTCTTTTATGACTCGTGGACTTCAACTCCCAGAATTCCTGAGCCAGCACAGCTGGCTCAGGAATTCTGGGAGTTGAAGTCCACGAGTCATAAAAGAGCCAAGGTTGCCTACCCCTGATGTAGGCACTTCAAATATTATCAGTCAAAGAATGTAACCATCTCATGCTCGGTTACATCAGTGCCACGAGGTCCATTACTTTACAGAAACGCATCCTTCCGTTTCTATTTACCATAAATCGCCTGCATAGCCCCGCGGGCGAAGTGCAGGTCTTCAGAGTTACAGGACTCACGGAAAGGAGAGAAGATTCCTGGATCTTTTATTTCGGAGTCATTCTCCAATGCGCGAAAGGCAATTGTGGGATGGAAGGGAGTTTTCCAAAAGCTCAGAGGGAATGTGGTTCATCCACCGGTTTCACCAGTTCTGGATAGCATCCGCCATCATCAGCATCGCCATCTTACCAGGATCATACAGATTCACTAGCATCACTTCTTCCGCTTTGCTTTTCCGGGCTCCAAAGGTCCAAACAAACGCAGGCGGGGTATTTTACCTGGTCTGGAAAAATCCGCACGAGGAGTTTCCGTGTCTCTCTGCTGCCAGTTAGTGGTCAGGCGAATTTTTGCAGTCCAGTCTACTGCAAGCCCTGCACGGATGGGAAAATAACTAGGCTACTTCGCCTGATTCTCGATTCTTGTCAGTGATGAAGCAGTCAATCGGAAAACGAGTTTATAGTTTCCTGGAATTTCCAATTTGGGGGTCTCGGAGCACTGTTGCAGCTGTTGTGGGAAAAGGTCGATATGATCGTTGGCAAGGAAAACTCTTTTGTGCTTGAACGTAAACATATTCTCCAGGTTTAAACACTTTTGTGACAGGACGAGGTCCCTTTATTTACTGTTGTTTTGTTTACTGGCCATTATCCAACTCCAGTGGACTCTGCGGTCCAATATACGGCTGGTACGTTAAAAAAAAAATAGGAAAAGCAGCTGAGGAAAGATCTGACAACAGCGATGTTCCTCTGACTGCTGAAAGCGAAAACGTTCTATTTTTTTCTTTCACTGAGATGCCGAGGCACGGCGGCGGTTCTTGTAGTCGATAGGTCGTTCGGTGGCTAAAATGGCCCAATCAGCAGTCGACAAGCCATGGCACGCTGGCTCTGATTTGCCGATGCTATTATGACGCAATTGGCTTCGCTAACTTGGCGGCCGGCGGCTGGAAATGCGTGCGAAAAGTGTGATCTCAGGGCCAGTTCGATTTGACGTGATTTGGCGGGAGGGTTCGGGCTTGAGCAAGGAGAAAAGGCCAGGCTAGCGTAGAAAGTGACTTGATCCGGTTCTGATTTAAGGTAGGCAGGAGGGAGAGAGACCGCTGTTTAAAAGCGGGAAAGGGTTTCCTGCCTATTATTTTCCTGCTATTGTGAAATGCTTCGCTCTCCGTATTTCCTCCTAGAAGAGAGGTGCTGCCTCTTTCTCCCTCCGTTCGCGGCGACCGATGACACAGCCGCACAGACAGAAGGCCCGGTTCCTGTGGCCCTTCCCTATTCCCTCGCTTCCTATCGTTTCTTTTTAATTGAACTAAAAGGCGTTCCAATAATTTTTTTTTTAGGTTCCTACTACTCTTCGTGTTTGAAGCCAAAATCATCACCATGCCATTATTAATGCATCACTACATCTTAATTTTGAATAATGTGTATAGGTTTTTCCCCTCAGATGAGACTAATTCCTCAGATACACAGGTAGTTCACGACTTAACAACAGTTCATTTAGTGACCATTCAGAGTTACAACAGCACTGAAAAAAGTGACTTATGATGATTTTTCACACTGGGGACTGTTGTAGCAGCCTCATGGTCACGTGATTTACATTCAGATGTGTTCATATTTATGCCGGTTGCAGTGTCATGTGATCATATTTTGCAATCTTCTGACAAGCAAAGTCAATGGGGAAGCCAAATTCACTTAACAACCGTGTTACTAATTTTAACAACTGCAGTGGTTCACTTAAAAAATGTGGCAAGAAAAGTCATAAAACAGGGCAAAACTCACTTAACAAATTTCTTACTTAGCAACATAAATTCTTATCTCAATTGTGGTCATAAGTTGAGGACTACCTGTACAGTGGAACAACCTGCCTCCAGTTAATTGTGAATGCTCCAACATTGGAAGTTTTTAAGAAGAGATTGGATAACCATTTGTCTGAATGGTATAGGGTTTCCTGCCTAAGCAGGGGGTTGGACTAGAAGACCTCCAAGGTCCCTTCCATCTCTGTTATTCTATTTTATCCTATCTATTTTATACAGAACACTCTGTAGTTTTATGTATGGCTGTTGTATTTTGCTAGTAATCTTTCACAATTTATTGAAACTTGTTTTCATCTAGGAAAAAAACCAAGTCTTTGTGTATCCTGTGCATTTTTCAATAGTGCAGCATGAAATGACAAATTATTTTTATGGTGTGATGAGGATTGTAGTGGTGTATATAAAAATCAGAAGGTCCTATGTAGAGTATACCACACAAGTCAACAAGTTTCTTTCTTTTTCCTCTGTTAAAATGCTTCAAATACACTTTTTTCAAGATTTTCCTTATCTTGATTATTTCTAAATCCTTTACAGTTTCATATTATTTTTTTTAAATTATCATGCCTATAGTCTTAGGCATCGTCAAAATATCAAAGATAAAGGTAATAAAATAGTGGAAGCTTTATTTTTAACTTTTTTATTATTTTCTTTATTTTTTTTCCACAAGGAAATACTGAATCAGCTAGTCCCAGCATAACTTTCAGTTGTGAAAACTATCTGGGTATTTTTCTATGCAATTAATTACCAAATTAAAAGAGGTCTATTCCTTAATTACAACTTTGTTACATTTGTTCAGGAGACTATGAAAAGAAACTATGTGAAAGTTTTCTAAGAATCCACGCTTACAGAATTTTGAAAGGAAGACAGGTCTTAACCTATGCAAAAGCCAAGTTATTTTTTATAATGGGACTTAGCCATTTAAAGAGTTATTCAGAACCCTTTCCCAATTTCCCCAGAACAGTCTTTAAATTCTGTAATTTTATAGCACATCTCCCTAAACCACTGGTTCTTAACCTTGACAATTTTAAGGCATGTGGACTTCAGCTCCCAGAATTCCACAGCCAGCAAGTCCACATGCCTTAAAATTGTCAAGGTTGAGAAACACTGCCCTAAACTTTAAAAATATATATATATATGCTACACTAGTCACTTTTTTGTTGTTGTTAGTTGCGAAGTCGTGTCCGCTCCATCGCGACCCCATGGACAACGTTCCTCCAGGCCTTCCTGTCCTCTACCATCTTCTGGAGTCCATTTAAGCTCACTCCTACTGTTTCAGTGAATTCCTTGGAAGTCTCCCACTGAACCTGGCTCAACCATCCTTAGCTTGTGAGTCCAGACCTGTGACTTGAATCCTCACATATATAACAGGTTCAATCCTAAACATTTTTATTTTGTAGTTAAAAACATGGAGCTGAAACTTAACTGCATTTTAAAGGAAAATTAATTTTCCAGGAGAATTGGCGTAGATTTAAAACATGTAAATAGAAGGAACAGAAAAACACTAAATAGTTCTTCCTTTATTTTACATTCCAGACTGTGAAATTATAATTGCAAAAAAAGCCTTTGAATTGTATTATCGATTGTATGTAGTGTATACCAGTATTACTACTTTTATTCTTACAGTTAATTAATAGCTTGCAGGGACTTCAATAATAAATATATAGGACTGGATTTTCTGTATATAATAATAATAATAATAATAATAATAATAATAATAATAATAATAATAAAGTTGGAAGGGACCTTGGAGGTCATCAAGTCCAATCTCCTGCTCAGGCAGATAACCCTATACCATTTCAGACAAATGGCTGTCCAGTCTCTTCTTAAAAACTTCCAGTGTTGGAGCATTTACTGCTTCTGGAGGCAGGTTGTTCCACTGATAGTTCTAACTCCTCCTTAGTTCTAGGTTGCTTCTCTCCTTGATTTGTTTCCACCCGTTGCTTCTTGTCCTACCCTCCGGTGTTTGTCCCAATCTTTCTGTATACTCATTTGAAGAACTGACATTCCTTTGGAATACATACACTTCAAGAAATATCTTCGAATTATAATTAATTGATGAATAATCTATATTTCATTTCACATTTATTCCCATATTGCCTTTGTATTAATATTGTTGATATTTCTCACTTCAAACTATATTTTGTTGTTTGAAAGAGTAGATATTTATTTCATTTACCTCAACTTTAAGATTATTGAAATGAAAAAAATGATACTCTTCTGTATTAACAGTTGTAATTTTGGGAAAGCCATACAGACAGTCCTCAGCTTGCAACCATTTGTTTAGTGAGCATTCAAAGTTACCGTGATTAATGACCATTTTTTACATTTATGACCATTGCAGCATCCCCACGGTCATGTGATCGAAGTTTGGATGTTTGGCAGCTGGCATGTATTTATGACAGTTGCAGTGTCCCAAGGTCACGTGATCACCTTTTGCAACCTTCTGATGAGCAAGGTCCACGAGGAAGCCAGATTCACTTAACAGCCATGTTACTAACTAAACAACTGCAGTAATTCACTTAACAACTGTGGCAGGAAAGGTCATAAAATGGGGCAAAATTCACTTAACAACTGTCTCGCTTAGCAACAGAAATTTTGGTTTCTGTTGTGGTCGTAAGTCGAGGACTATTTGTATTTCAAATGTAACCTTTCCTCAAGGAACCTTTCTTTACACTGGTATCTCACTGTACCACTATTATGGACGATATATCCTGGGGAAGTCCCACAGGGTTTCTCTACATTATGAAGCTCTGGATACCAAGTAAAAATGCTTGTACACACCGGTTATTAGAATGTAACATGGCAATGGTTTTTATCATTTTGAGCTTAGGATTTTCAGTTTGATTTTTTTTTCAAGAAGAGAAGCAATATGCAATTAAACCAACAATAATAATGTATTATTTTAATCATATATTTTTGGTACCTGCAAGAATGATGAGTAATTTAAAATTACTGTATAACTAAATAATGGTTCGCGTATGGGAAAAAAACCCCAGTATTTGGATATTTCTAAGAAAAACCTATTCTGAAACTCTGGAAGATAGCATCTTATTGGTTTTGAAAATTATGAACCAGTTACATCAACAGTCTGACAGTAAGACATCTTCCTTTATGTCTATATTCAGAATCAAGTGTGGTTGTCTACAGAAGTCCGATACAAAAACGGCCGTTTAATAACGTTCAAAGTTATAACAGATCCAAACAAAGTTCTAACTATTTCCTCCCTCGCAACCACATAACTGCATTTTTGGCACTCTGCAACAAGCCCATATTTACGATCATTTGCAGCATCCCATAGTCATGTGATCGATTTATGATGTTTTTTGCTGGAAATCGGCATTTCTAGTTTCTGCCCATTTCGGACAATAGGTTCATTTAACAGCTGCAGAATTGCCTAACCATCATGGTGATTCACTTAATAATTGCTACAAAAATGTCATAAAATTAGGTCGATCAGGTGATGACCCATTTAATGACCAGCATAATTTGTGACTATAATTCCAGTCTCTATTATGGCTGTAAGTCAAAAACTACCTGTACAGGGAGTCTGTCTCTTTGAAAGTATTGTTAAAATTCCAGCCTACATGGAATAATTTGACCCAATGTACATTTTATTTGGAAATAAATCTCATGAATCTTTCTTTAAATAATCTGAGTAGTATCTAACTGCTTGGTTTTAATTTTTCACACTGATTATAGAGATTTGTTGTACCAAAATATTAGATCTTGTTTCATTTCTGGTTTATACCATAAATGAGGTTTGGGGGAATAGATACATTAAAATAGTGGTTTAAAATTTTGTCAGACTTTCATTTCTATACATTTTCCCCCACAGATTACCATGGGTGATTTTGAAAAGGGTAAAAAGATCTTTGTTCAAAAATGTTCACAATGCCACACAGTTGAAAAAGGTGGAAAGCACAAGACAGGCCCTA